TAGTTTCCATCTTTCATGCATCTGTGTCAACCTCATATCATCCTCAAAGACTCTACCTGGGAGGAACAACAGTGATCTTCCCTCAGCTTTTAAGAATTGACTGTTTTGTTCTAGTCGTCATAATCCTATCTAATAATAGACAAACATGGTAATTGACCATACCTTCGCTACGCCTCCCATTGGCTAATCAGCGACATATGCAAATTAACTGCCAACAAAGATGGCGGTTAATTTGCATACGTAGGCATGAAGCAGCGGAGCTAAGACTGAAGGCGGCTCCAGCCAGAGCAGCGACTGCCTGGGTCCCGGGTGCCGGAGGAAAACCTGTGCCGGCAGCCAGGGGAAGGGAAGGCCTATTGCACGAATCTTTTCATGCAACAGGCTTATAGTACTATAATAAAGAACCATAGCTTGATTGATTTAAAAAAGTCGGTTAAAGCAGCCAATGGTGAAAATAAGATACACGTTTAAATTTGTACTCAAATATGTACAAGTTTACATTCATTTGCCAATCTTTGACAAGAGGCCAAGGCCTTTTCTTTACTTATGGGTGAGCTAATTATGCAGCTCATTATCTGCCTTGGATAAACCATATCCAACCTCTGCAATTTCCCATTTTTTTCTTTAAAATGGAATGAGAACTTAAACTTAAAAATACTTGCCGAACAATCCGACTACAGAATTTGTTCATTTTTTTACAATGTGTTTTCCAATTTTTACATTGATCTCATCTACAACTTCATTTAGTAAGTTTTTTCAAATATTTACCTTTTCTATGCTTTCATGGAAAAACAACAGCTTCATTTTCACATCACATTCCATTAGTTATATGCAAATTTTAATTACATAACATAATTACAACTGAAAGCACAACCAACATAAGCAGATTACCAAGAATTGGTCATATTTGTTAACTACAGAGACAGGCCACTGAGGGACAAATATGACCAACACTTGGTAAGCTTAGAACCTAACCAGTGGGCAGAGAAGTTAAGCATGCCAGTGGTTAGCCCAGCTGCTGCAAGCATGCAGGGAGTCATGGGTATCAGCGTATGTCGTGCAGAAAGATAGATAGAGAATGTTGGTAGTCTACTGACTCCATGAACTACTGATTGGTTTTTAAATTCTTCTATTGCATTTGGTACTGTTACTTAGCATGTTACTATACACAATTTTTTTCTCCCTGCAAATGAACTTCTAAACAAAGTAAACAAGTTTATCAACATATATGGCACATTCGCCAGAAGCATCAGCCGGTGCTACAAACACCAGTGGAGCTGCCTGTCAGAGAGCTGCAAGGGTAAGCCAGCCCTCCTTGAGCTCGAACTCTTGCTCTCCTCTTTACTACTGTGTGACCTTGGGAAGGGGTCTTGAACTTTATATTTTTTATTGAGGACAGTAATACCAATCCCCAAACTCCTTTAAACACTGGAACTGGTATTTAAAAGCATGTATCAGGCACTCAATAAATTTTCATTCTCTGCCTTCCTCCTTCCCTCCCTCAGATAGATGAAGGAGGGGCTGAGAAAGTGAATCAGTGGGTTAACAGGGAAGAAGTGAGTGAGCGAATGTGTTTTACCCATAAGGGTTGTTGAATGCGATGGCGTACACCACGTTCCTGTGGCCGTCCAGGGTGAAAAGTTCCCCTCCAGATGCGGTGTCCCAGACTTTGCAGGTTCGGTCATAGCTTCCTGTGATGAAGCTAAGACAGGAATATCAATTAATCACAAGGGGAGAAAAGCTGTGTGTTAATAAGACCTTATTTCTTACCTGCAAGATTATAGCCCCATTTCTCATACTTTTTCCATGAAAATCGTGTATGCAGAACAAACAGTTAAAATGGGAGCAATAAGTCCTTTGTCTTAATAAGTTCTTTGCCTTAGAAACTTTCCAATTTTATCCCCAAACCAAAAAGAAGTCACTAAATAAAATAAAGAGTAATCCTTGCCAATAACTAACCTTACAATAAAAATAAGTATATTAAATAATGACAATCACTAACATTTTGGGAAATTCTAATATACCTTAATAAATAGCATCATTCTTCCAGTTGGTCAGCCCTTAAAATCTTATTATCATCTTTGATTCCTCAGTTTCTCTCACATCCCACAATCTATTAGTAAATTCTTTTATCCCGGGCCTCAAATACATCCCTGCTAGGGTTATTCTCACCAGCTCCATTGTCTCCATCTCTTACCTAAACAAATAAAACCATATTCGAATGGGTCTTGCCTCACAAATGGTCCTTACAAATTAGTTTTCCTTGCCAGAATTGGAGTTATTTTGCTAACCTTCTTCTAATGGCGTTCTAGCAACCTAGAGGAAAATTCAACTTCTGCTCGTGTCCACGAGGCCAGCAGCCCTGGCTCTCTCTGGGACTTTAATCACCCTCACCAGCCACATTCTCTGAAGAACTGCATTGTTTATTTTATACATGCTAGTCCTTGTACCCATCTGGTTCACCACCATCATCCCCAGGACCCAGAACATGACTGGCACATGAATAAGGGTTCAATAAATATTTGCTTCATATTTAACACTTTTTAACATGACTATGCTACTACATGAATAGGTAATATATTGACCTCTAATATTTTAAAGTAAATATTAAAGTAAATATCTTACATATTCTATTAGGGACACTATTTCTCTAACACAGAAAGTAATGCACAATATTGAAAGGTGAGTAGAAATGTCAAGTGGTAATTATACAAGGCAAAGACAGATTCTAATATCTAAACTCAACCAAATAGGAAGGTAGAAAAGGCAGTGTGTATTTGATTCTCCCCTAGGCATTCTCTTCCTAGCTTCTCCAAGAATGTTTTGGTGCAGTCATTATGGAAGACAGGATGGTGGTTTCCCCCCAAGATTAAAATTAGAACTGCAATGTGATCCAGCAGTCCCACCTGGGGGTGGGTGTATGTCTCCAAAGGAACTGCAGGAAGGATGTCATAGAGACAGATATTTGGACTCGCATGTCCATTGCAGCTTATTCACCATAGCTCAGAAATGGGAGCAATGTAAGTGTTGGTCAAGGGATGAATGGATAAAGAAAATGTGATGTATACAATGAAATATAATTCAACCATGAGAGAGCAGAAATCTTCCAATTGTGACAACAAAAGTGAACATGGATGACATCACGCTAAGTGAAATAAGCCAGGTAGGGAAGAACAAATTCTGTATGATCTCATTCTATGTGTAATCTTAAAAAGAAGTTAAACTCATAGAAGCAGAGTAGAACAGGAATTACCCGGGGCTGGAGAGTGGGAGAAATGAGAAGGTGTTGGTCCTAGATTACAAAGTTGCAATTATGTATCATGAATAAGTCTAGATATCTAATCTACAGGCATGTGACTACAGTTAATAATACCATATTGATTGTGGGAAACATGTAAAAGAATAAATTTCAGGTGCTTCCTTCACACACAAAGAAGGTAACTGTGAGATGATATCTTAATTAGTTTGACTAGCAATTATTTCACTGTGTATATCAAATCATCATATTGTACACCTTAAATATATACAATTTTTACTTTAAAAAGTTTACCCCTCAAATGTTATAAATTATAAAAAAAATAGAAATATATAGATATAGACAAAATAAAAATAAGAGGAGTTTTAGGTCAGTGAAAGTGCTCTGTGTGGTACCATAGTGGTGGGTATATGTCATTATACATTTGTCAACCCATAGAATGTACAAAGTCAAGAGTGAACCCTAATGAAAACTGTGAACTTTGAGTGATAATGATGTGTCCCTGTAGGTTCATCGATTGTAACAAATGTTCGCCTCTAAGGTTGTTGACAGTGGGGGAGGCTGAGGGGGGAGAGGGGGAGAGGTGAACATGAGATATATGAGAAATCCCTTTACCTTCTGCTCAGTTTTGCTGTGAACCTGAAACTACTCTAAAAAATAAAGTCTAATAAAATTATTATTTTTTAAATAAATAGAGAACCTTACCAAGAGCCTGATTTATTCAGTGCAACATTAGTCAATGGTAGTATATGTGCTCTGAGAACCTTCAATGAAAGAAAATACCATTTTTAAACTCAAATAAAATTAAGTTTAATTCATTAATTTTAAATTTCAAACGAATAAAAATATGCAAGCTTATCTTAATTATATGTAATAAAAGGACAATATTCGATATCTGAACAAATGAGAAAAAATATATTGTACCATCTATTATTATTATCAATAATACATTTGGTAGTTATGAATAATTACAAAATCAAAATCTGTGTTTTCCACCAATTTTCCTTTAATATAAATTATTGCTATTAAATAAGATATCAAATAGCACTAATTTATAACATTTTCTTTAACATAGTACTCATGGTTTTGTAGATATGTATGAACAGTGTACAGAGGAAATACACTAAATGTTTACAATGTATTATTACTTTTTTAATCATAAAGCTCTTTTAGAGTCAGGATATATCTATTGTATTTATCTTTCAATCCCTACATTATTTGGCACACAGTGAATGCGTAATATTTATTGAATAAATATAGGCAAATTGGATATTCTGTCTACAGACAGAGTGATAGATTAGGCTGGGACAGTCTAAGTTATGTCTATTACCAGAGTGTAACTACTATTAATAGTGTTTTCTTTCACTATCAAAATTGTTCCCTTTGAAGGATAAATTACAAGGTCATGCTAGTTATAGAGCTCCTATTTGAAGTCTAATAGTGCCACCTGCTGGACAAAGAAATATTACAAGAATAACCGTCCTCTTTTAGTAAATTGAAAGGATGAGTACAAAAGATTGCTTTAATATTTTGTATCAGAATATGCTGACTATATAAATAATAATTATATTTTATTACAATTATACATAAATCATACAAAATTAAATCATTTTAATATGAAGCAATTCTAGAAGAAGCTATAAAATGTTGTTAATAAAAAAGCTGTTCCTGAAGTAATAAATGACTAAATTTGTTATATTTTTAATTTAATAATCAAAAAGTATGGAAAACAAGCATATTTGCATTACATTAAAATTGTTATATCAATCATATCAATAAATAATTTACTGAAATATTGATATACCATGAAACACAACTTCTTAATATTACTCTAACTGGAAAAAAAAACACTTTAATTATTCAATAACTTAAAACTTCCTTAATGGTTATCCTTTAAATTAATCATTATAAAGAACAGCTATCTTTATGTAGTTTAATAAAGAACTACAAATCTTTATTAAACTTCAAAAAATAGAAGTTTGAATTTCATTCATTCAACAGTCATTGAGACTTAGCCTTAGCAAATAAATGTGAGGCACTGAGGGGAAGAAAAAACACGATTTGCATTTCACCTCAAATTAGTAGGATATCAATGAATTTACTGAAGTTACACCTTGTATTTTGAAAACACACGTTACCTTGAAAAGTTCGAATTGGTGGTCGCTGTGCTCTCTGAGTTTATCCTGTAGTCTCTGAATTAAAAGTTTCACCTGATGTGATCGTGAAGCTGTGATTAGAGGTTCTGCTCTCTGTATCTCTTCTACTAGGGCACTGACATCAGTACTAAGATTCACAAAAAGAAAGTTACTTCTCCTATGCCACAGTCGCACATGCATTCATTACCTGAAGAGTTACATTGTTTTACAAAGCAGCGTATTTATAAAATGTCAAGAACACCATCATCTTTATCAAGAGATCTCGGGGGGGGGGGGATTGTGGGGGGAAGAAATCATGCAAATCAATAAAGAGCATTGTGGCAGGGATGGCAGCAGCTGGGGTTCTCCAGAACCTGTTTTCACTTCCTGAGACTTCTCCCCTGGGAGGAGCGGGTGCAAAGATCCTGACTTGCTCACCTAAAGAAGGCCAAAGGCATCCTGGGTCTGAGCATGAGCTTCTTCTATATGTTTTTTCCTTCTTTCTCTTTGAAATGAAGTTATATTGAATGTTCCTGGTACTACTATTCTTTCCACTTTACATATGTTCTCTCATTTAATTCTGTAACAACCTTTTAATTTAATGCTTTTATAATTACTACTAGAGGCCCGGTGCATGAAAATTCATGCACTGAAGGGGAGGGTGCCTCAGCCCGGCTTGCCCCCTCACACAGTCCGGGAGCCCTCAGGGGCGGGAGGTGACCCGGTGATCAGGGGAAGGTGATGCCGGCATCACACCTCTGCTGCTGCCACTGCCGACAGCACAAGCGCCTTGGGCGACTCTGAGTGGCTGGGCAGCTGCTATCTGAGGCTTGCCTGTGCCTCGGGCCAGCCCTGGGCAGCTGGGAGGCCAAGGGGACTGAGGGACTCCTTGCCACATGCCTGCCACCCCAGGGGGGTTGAGGGGACTGGGTGCTGCCATCTTGTGGCTGTAGGCGCCACCATCTTTGAGAGGGGGCAGTCAATTAGCATACTCCCTCCTTATTGGCTGTGGGCACCACCATCTTTGAGGGTGGGGCAGTCAATTAGCATACTCCCTCCTTATTGGCTGTGGGTGCCACCATCTTTGCGACAATGTGAGAGTCAATTAGCATATTCTCTCTTTATTAGATAGGGTATTTGCACTAAAAGAAAAACGAAAAAAAATGAGGTCCAGAAAGTTTCTTTAAGAATATATATATTTATATGTCCCCTTTTTTCCCTCATTGACCCCTTCTAGCCTGCCCCAGACCTTCATCACCCTATTGTCTGTGTCCATGGCTTATGCATATATGCATACAGTGCTTTGGTTGATCTCTTCGAACCCACCCACCCAAAGTGTCGGCTCTAAATATTTTCAGGGAAAGAGAAAGTACCTGACCAAAAATAAACATTCAAAGCATAATGGTGATTTTTATTACTATTTCTTATTGGCTACAACAGGGGTCCTCAAACTTTTTAAACAGGGGACCAGTTCACTGTCCCTCAGACCGTTGGAGGGCCGGACTATAGTTTAAAAAAAACTATGAACAAATTCCTATGCACACTGCACATATCTTATTTTGAAGTAAAAAAACAAAACGGGAACAAATACAATATTTGCAAAGCATAATGGTGATTTTTATTACTATTTTTTACTGGCTACAACATGATTTCCCTGAAAGAGAACTGGTCTGAAAAGGGCAGATTCATGGTTTTCCTCAGTATTCAAGTAATCTATACCAATTTTGGTCAATTTTGCTAGTCCAGAATAATATTAAATCAATGCAAATATTAATGATTATGAACTGCAAAGCATCCAAATGGGGTAATTTTGCAAAACATGAGTCAAAGACGCACACTACCCAGCACGCATCCTTAAGGCCCTGTGGCCCAGCTGCGAGGGGTGATGAGTTAATGGACAGCCTCCAATTGAGCTGCTCCAGGATCCGCCTCAGCATTTGAGCTCAGGGCCTGGTCTTCATGGTGGCCCTCAGCGCAGGGCTGAGCAAAGGGGCAGTGCAAGAGCCTGGACGTTTTGGAACATGAGGAACCCCCCTAACCAGCAAGCTCCACTCCGGAGCTCTCCTTTGGGCTCTCAGAGGCCATTGTCAAATCTGCATCATCATGACGTGTGCCTCCTCCTGCCCAACCCCCTTCACCCTCTGGTCTGTCACAGGTGTCACTGCCCAGTAACCTTTTACCCACCTACCTCTGTCTCAGCATACCCTTCCCAGAAACTTGAACTCTGATGAGCATCCTAAATACACAATTCCTGAGCTCCAGTTCTATGCAAGGCACTGAGCTACGAGACTACTGGTCCCATTAGCTTTTACTGAGTACCTACTGTGGGTTACGTGCTGCAAGAGTAAAAGACATGGTCCCAGCTCTCAAGAAATACAGCCTATCAGAATTAGAGTGAGTATTTGGAACGGAAATAAACCAGAGACGGTTTATAATGATGCCTTTGATAAATTCTGAGACAGTTTGTCATCAAAAAAATTATACTTTCATAAGCATTAAAAACATCATAATGTCTTTTGGGAGTTTCCAACAAATGTGGTGAATCAATACAAATTTCCTAGCGAGATCTAAAGAAACCAGGTGGTTAACCAATATATCCCAACTGCAGTCCTATTCTAGTTGTTATCTTCTAATATAGTAACTGCACTATGTCATATATAATGCAAGTGTTTTTATGTGCAGAATACTTCCAGATTCTAGGGCAGAACTAGAAATAAGGCCCATACTTGTTTAAAACAAACTTTGAGACATTTATTAACTCCATCGGATGACTACAGCATCCTAAAGATCTACATTTTTTATACATAAGTCTGCACTGTCCTGAATCTCTACCTGGAAGTTATTCTCTCACCTACAAGTTTATCTGCATCACTCACATGATGTTCATCTGTTTCATATAAGCTGTTCCTCAAACTAGACAATAAGCCCACTGAGGTAGGCATTATGACTCGCATCTTTACAGCCTCCCATAGACTCTAACCTAGAGCTTTACATGTAGAAGGTGCAAATCTTTGCCACCGTTAACTTTTTTATTTAAAAAATAAATGCCTTCGGAATCGACTTGGACTTCACTGTAACTATCTTCATCCGAGCCACACCTGTTCCCACGCTGAGACAGACTCCAGACCTGGCGGCAGCTCTCACCAGCCAGGAGCTGTTTGGGTTTATTCTAAAACTAGAGAGCAGCTCCTCTCCTGTGTGAGAAGTCCCTTTGCTGACAGACTCTGTTCCCCTTCCCACTAATCAGGACAAAGCAAAAGGACAGTCACAGTGGGAAATTACCCATTGCCACCCCGGGGATACTAGATAAAACACATACTGCAGTATTTTTATACTAGTTCTTTTTTATTTTCTCCCATGCAGAATATCTTCTCCTTATCTGCATGTGGGCTCCCACAGGTATAATCTCTATTCTGATTCTATCTCTCCAAGTGCAGTTTTGCATAAGCCGTCCTAACGGGAATGAATTCTTGGCAATAAGATCTCGCAGGGGGATTTCCTCTGAGCACACACATTTCAGAGACAAAACTTAATTCCTCCCAACTCTGCCCCATGGCAATTATTGAGGAAGATTGTGTGCAGTCAGCCCTATGAGATGTTTATCTACTAAGAAAATAACAGGCTTGGTAATATTCTTAAAATGTCATGACCAGTACCCCTCAGTAATGTTAAGGTCATCAAAAAGAAGGCAAGTCTGAGGCACTCTCACAGCCCTGAGGAGACCAAGGAGACGTGACGACTAAATGCCATGTGGTCTCCTGGAGGGGATCTTGGAAGAGAAAAAGAGGTTTAGGCAAAAACCAAGGAAAATTGGGTAAAATACAGTCTTTAGTTAATAATGTATCAATGCTGGTTCGTTAATTATGAGCAATGTACCATACTAGTCTAAGATGATAATAATAGGGGATATCGAGTATGCGGTACATGGAAACTTTCTCTTCACAACTTTTCTAAAACTATTCTAAACTAAAAGGTTTATTTTTACTTAAAAGAGTCTATTTAGGGGTTAAGAGAGAAGGGCAGACTAATGATCCATTTTCTACCTCCTCACTCAACAAGACACTCAAGTAGAACTCACTGAAACAAACAGAAGTCACACACCACACAACATTTTTAAAGCAATGTATTGTCTGAGGTTAGGCAGCTCCTCCATACGTCACCCTATGTCAGGGTTTTCCAATAAAAAAACTGGGTATGAAATACATGTTACATTGTATAGCTAGCTTACCTGGGACTGAGATCAAGTAAATCTATGGATTTGGTCTTCAATTCTCCACTTTTCTCATATTCCAACATAATTCCTATAAAAGTAAACAAACATGTTTAAAACATTTATGATGACAACTGATGTCCAAAGTTAATCTACTTTGACAACTTGATCATTTTTATTTCTCAATAGCTTGAATTTTTCAAAACATATGCACTGATGTCTAATTCTAAAATAAGATTATGTAAATTCACTTTTCCCTGGTCTTTCCTCTAAATACAATTAAATACCCTTGAAATTATTTAACAGGCAAGGATAAAATAATTAAGAGTTGTATAGAAGAAGGTGGACTGGCCAAAGACCTCAAGACTCAAGGAATGACAATAGGGTAAATTCCCTAGATTTTCTTTTGTCACCTTATATCCCCAAACTGGGGACCAACAGGATGTGTAGCCTGGAACCACCAAAAGGCAGAGACAACAAAAACCATACCACAACCACAGCAACTTGCTTGCTATGGCCAAAAGTCCACAAGAAGGGAAGTCATACAAAGAACTAATAGGGAGCCCTAAACCCTGCTCCACAGCTGGGGCCCCTGAGGGAGTCCATCCACTAGGGAAAGCCTGGGCTGATCCGGTTTCCACTGCAAAGCTGGGCCAGCAGCTGTCTAGTCTGCCTGCAGCAGACACAGCAACAAAGTCTCAGGTTTTCTCAACACGTGCTCCTCTGCTGGGCCCAGGGAGCCATCCAGTCTGTCTAGAGCAGCGGTTCTCAACCTGTGGGTCGCGGCCCTTTTGGGGGTCGAACGACCCTTTCACAGGGGTCGCCTAAGACCATCGGAAAACACATATATAATTACATATTGTTTTTGTGATTAATCACTATGCTTTAATTATGTTCAATTTGTAACAATGAAATTGGGGGTCACCACAACATGAGGAACTGTATTAAAGGGTCGTGGCATTAGGAAGGTTGAGAACCACTGGTCTAGAGGAATGCTAGGGAAGTCCCAGGGTCTTCCATACCCCACTTCACAACCAGGCCATTGGTAGGCAGTCTCATCCACCTCCAAAAGGAGCAGCAATGAAGTCCTAGGATGTCCCAGATGTCACTCTACCATCAGGTGCCAAAGCAATGTCTCTCTGTATTTGAGCAGTAGCATAACCAGGCCCGGGGTTTGTCCCTCATCCTCAGAAGGTCACCCAGTGAGAACAGGCGTATTGGGATATAGCTCTGCCCCTGCAGGTGGCACCAGCAGGAATGGAGCAGGAAGAAGCTCTAGCAGCACCAGGAACACAAAACAGACCGGAATAGCATTGCAAGGCCTCAGAAAACTGACCTGCCTCTGGAACTAACGCAAGCACACATCCGTGAGGAGCACAGGACCACTGTCAGAGTCTGCGGCCACTGCCTTGATTTGTTCTATGGTACCAGCTGTTTCACCTTTCACTGTTTCTGCACCCTTAGTGCAAATGTCAATACAGGGGGAGAAGCAAATGACATCTTATTGTTATTATGGAAAATGATTTGGCCTGGAGGCCCCCTTTTAAAGAGGTTCAAGGGCCCCTACAATTTGCGAATCACAGTTATAGACCATAATTCAATATAACAGATGTCAAATTAATCTATGGAGTTAAAGTAATTATCATGACTTTATATTTGGGATTTGAAAAATTACCCCATATTATAACAAACTATGTCACAATAAACTATGGTTCTGATGCAAAATTAGATCAGTGTTTTAGAATCACCTTTATATGAGAAGTCCCTTTTAAAGATAAAGTGAAGGTAATATTTCAAATTAATTGGAAAATAATGGTTTGTTCAATAAATAATGATTTCATAATCAGCTGAATTTTGAAAAAGTAATAAAACTATAATTCTACCACACAGTGTACAAAAATGTATTCTAGGCTGATTAGAAATTTTTAAAATTAAGAATGAATTATAAAATGGTCTAAATAATAAAATATATTTTTATCTTAGTGTTTGTAGTTGACTTTTTAAGCATGACGTGAAACTCAACAGCTAAAAAGGGAAAAAAAGGAATCTCAAAAACGAAGAATAAAATATAAAACATGTCCATTGACTTTTCCACTGTGACAAACATCAGGCAATATAGTCCCTCTTCCATGATCACTGAGCTCTAAAGTGAGTGAGAGTCTGCGAAGAATATGATTTTTAAAAAAATAGACAAAGATGCTCCTGAATACATGTAGTTCTTCCGTAATTGTTTCTCACAGTATAAATATTCCTGACCTCCCTCTGGTTGTGAATCATTATTCAATTGATATAATTCCCAAAACAGGTAAGGAGCCACTACCCCCTAAATTCTTCAGTGTACTAAAAGGCTAAGCTTCATAAGATGTCAGTGGTCCTTACCCAGGTCATCTTCAGTCAACAGAAACCTTTAAAGTGGTCAGAACATTAATCAGTTTAATTAATATTTATTACTCCTTCTCCTGACCATAAAACTAAGGACTTGTATCTAATCAATAAAAGACAAAAGCTGTCACAACTGAGTCAGTTGAAAAGCACTTATTCAACACCTACTCTTCGAGTGAATTAATGAATTAATTAGTGTGACCAAGATAAAAAGGAAATGCCTCATGTTTGATTAGTCATGTTACTGTTCTGTGTCTTTATTTTTTTTAAAATATATTTTATTGATTTTTTACAGAGAGGAAAGGAGAGGGATAGAAAGTTAGAAACATCAACCAGCTGCCTCCTGCACACCTCCCACTGGGGATGTGCCCGCAACCAAGGTACATGCCCTTGACCGGAATCGAACCTGGGACCTTTCAGTCCGCAGGCTAACTCTCTATCCGCTGAACCAAACCGGTTAGGGCTGTTCTGTGTCTTTAGTCATCAGGAATTTAAATAGGGAGAGGGATCATTCAATGGATGCCAACAAGACAATGCTCCTGATTTATAGATTACTCAAAAGAATGTGGGAGGACTGAAATGAGAGGAACAGGAGGTGAAGAAAAATTGCTCTATAGACCAAAGGGATAAAGGTGGCATGGGGATGACTCAGTGGGGAGTGATTTTTCCCATGAAGATAATGTTATTGCACCACCCACCTGCTATTCAGCAGTAGCTTGGAAGTCTGCATATAATACATGGCTCACCAAAGATTGGAATTCAGAAATTGTGTCTAGATGCTAAGTGTTATGCCCTCATTAGAAGAGAATCATTAAGGCAATAGTTGCATTCATGGCTCTAAAGCCTCACTTGAATCTAAGATTACTATTCGAACCCTGGACTTTTAGAGCTGGAGCGAACCTGGGAGATCACTACACAATCCATTCACAGTTCAGGCAGAGTCCTAGGCATGCTACTTAACACACATCATCTCATTAAACTCATTCATTTATTCAACAAATACCTAAGTGCCTATTTATTCACCATGCTCTATTCTAGGTGCTAGAGATATGGCAATAGACAAAATAGACAAGGTCCCTGCCTCATAAAGCTTTTGTTTTAGTTGACGAGACTAAGATAAATAAGTAAAATGATGCTGAATTGAGATAATGCTAAGAAAAGATAAAGCAGGGAATGAGCTATGGAATATCTTGAAAAGTTGGAAATTCTAGAAAGGGAATTTGATGGAAAGACTTAAAAAAAAAAGGTGAGAGTGCTGGTTATGAGATGTCCAGGGGAACTGATTCCATGCTAAATAAATAACAGTAACTACAGAGATCTAGTGGGGGTACAACCGGTGCATCCAAGGAACACCAAGGAAAGTAGTGTGTCTGGATCAGGAAGCAAGGTGAAGTCAGGGATGCAAGGGCAGGGAAGGATCTTGCAAGGCCTTGGAGATTATAGCCTCAGAGATCATGGTCCTTTACTTCAAGTGAAATGAAAAGCCATTGGAGGGCCAAGAGTGACATAATCAAATTCATGTTCTAATAGAGTCACCCTGCTGCTGTGTTGAAAATAAACTAAAGTGGGGCAAGAAACTCTAGCAATAAAGGGAATATCACCCATGGCTGTGGGAAGTTGCTAAATTCTGTCCAGTCATGTACCCCATAATGTTTCAGACCACATATATGAAGGTGGGCCCATCTATCTATATATATAAAAGCCTAAGCAACTGTTGCAACCAACTGAATGACTGGTCAACTGGTCACTATGATGTGCATTGACCACCAAGGGGCAGACACTCAATGCAGGAGCTGCCCCCTGGTAGTCAGTGCACTCCCACAGCCAACCTCCCACAGTCTCTCACCCTGGGTGGCCAACCTCCCGCAGTCCCTCCCTGCGGCTGACCGGCCTCAATCAGCCCCAATCAGGACTGGGAAAGATGGCCCCCATTGGCCCTGATCACTGGCCAGGCCGAGGGCCCCCCCACCAGTGCACAAATTCATGCACCGGGCCTCTAGTAAGATTATAATGGAGCTGGAAAATTCCTATTGCCTAGTAACATCATAGCCATTGTAACGTTGTAGCACAATGCATTCCTCACATGTTTGTGGTGATAATGGTGCAAACACACCTACTGGCTGCCAGTTGTATAAAAGTGTAGCACATACAAGTATGTACAGTACATAATACTTAATAATAATAATAAATGGCTCTGATACTGGCTTGGCTTTTGTATTGACTACACTTTTATCATTATTTTAGAATGTACTTTTTCTACTTATATAAAAACGTGTTTGCTGTAAAACAGTACACTGTGTTGTGCCAGCAGTAGTTTCATACATCTGTGTTTACCATGTTTCTTGATTGCATCATTTTCTCTTGTGCTTGATTTAAACTTGTGTTTTTTGTACAGTAAGATGCTATGAAGACTGTGGCCTAGGAGCAATAGACTATACCATATAGCCTAGGTGTGTAGTAGGCTAGACCATCCAGGTTTGTGTAGATGCACTCTGTGATGTTCACACAGCAACAAAATCACCTAAGGACACACTTCTCAGAACGTATTCCATTGTGAAGCAGTGAATGACTGTATTTTGAAGGTGAGCTGGCAGGGTTTGCTACTGGACCACATGTGGAGTGTGCAAGAGGGGAGAAAAGGGTGAATCCAAGGTTTTGGCGTGATCCATAGTGCAGAAATGGAGCTGCTATTGACTTAGTTGAGGAAGACCACAGAGGCCCATGTACAATGCACATTGGATATGTGAAATAAAGAACCAGGTGGACAGTTAGGTATTCAGGACGACTCAGGTGGTTTGTAAGCCTTGAGAAGAGATGAGGTCACCTAGCACATGAATATAGATAGAGAAAGCCAAGGACGGAGCTTTGGGACACTCCATCATTAAGATTAGAGAAAAAGAGGAACAGCCAACGAGATGGACCGAGGAGTGACAGTGA